GTGTACACGCGTGTGTGTGTGTACACGCGTGCGTGTGTGTGTACACACACGCGTGCGTGTGTGTGTACACACACGCGTGCGTGTGTGTGTACACGCGTGTGTGTGTGTGGGGGGAGCGGTGGTGCAGTGGTTAGCGCTACGCTGCGCTAAGAACCCAGCCCATCGAGTTCGATTCCCGCTCACGGGCAACACCGGTGACGATTATCTGAACCGGTCCTGGGCCTCCCATAGGTCGACTCAGCCTCAAATGAGTACTTGGTGCGGTGTGTAATAAACATTGCCCACTGGGGAGACAAAGGCAGCCGGGCGTGGTGCTGGCCACCCACCCCATAACATCACTTGCCCCAACAGTCTGCTAAGGCTATACGGGGAATCTTTGTCTTTATCTTTATCTTTGTACACGTGTTCATCTGAGATCACTCCATGGAACATAACTCATCAGTTGTGGTGGTTATGGTTGTTGTTGTTGTGGTGGTTGTGGTGGTTCTGGTTGTTGTGGTTGTTGTGGTTGTTCCGGTTGTTGTTGTGGTGGTTTTGGTTGTTGTGGTTGTTGTTGTGTTGGTTGTGGTGGTTCTGGTTGTTGTGGTTGTTGTTGTGGTTGTTGTTGTTGTGGTTGTTGTTGTGGTTGTTGTTGTTGTGGTTGTTGTTGTGGTTGTGGTTGTTGTTGTTGTTGTTGTGGTTGTGGTTGTTGTTGTTGTTGTTGTGGTTGTTGTTGTGGTTGTGGTTGTTGTTGTGGTTGTTGTTGTGATTGTGTGTATTGCTGCCCCCGCAGGGCTACCACTGCCCCAACGAGCTGGTGGCTGTGGTTGTTGTTGTGGTTGTTGTGGTTGTTGTTGTGGTTGTTGTTGTGGTTTTGGTTGTTGTTATGGTTGTTGTTGTGGTTGTTGTAGTTGTTGTGATTGTTGTTGTGGTTGTTGTTGTGGTTGTTGTAGTTATTGTGGTTGTTGTGGTGGTTGTTGTTGTGATTGTGTGTATTGCTGCCCGCGGTCGCAGGGCTACCACTGCCCCAACGAGCTGATGGTTGTTGTGATTGTTGTTGTGATTGTTATTGTGGTTGTTGTTGTTGTTGTGATTGTGTGTATTGCTGCCCCCGCGCAGGGCTACCACTGCCCCAACGAGCTGGTGGCCACGCAGGGCCCGCTGGCCGGCACCGTGGGGGACTTCTGGCGCATGGTGTGGGAGACGGGGGCCAGCGCCATCGCCATGCTCACCGCCTGCGTAGAGAGGGGACGGGTGAGACACACACACACACAGCCCCTACACACACACACACAGTCTCTACACACACACACAGCCCCTACACACACACACACACACAGCCCCCACACACACACAGCCCCTACACACACACACACACACAGCCCCCACACACACACAGCCCCTACACACACACACACACACAGCCCCCACACACACACATACAGGTACACACACACACACAGCCCCTACACACACACAGCCCCTACACACACACATACAGGTACACACACACACACACACAGCCCCTACACACACACACACAGGTACACACAAACACACACACAGCCCCTACACACACACACACAGCCCCTACACACACACACACAGGTACACACACACACACAGCCCCTACACACACACACACACAGGTTCACACACACACTCACAGGTACACACACACACTCACACAGTCCCTACACACACACACACAGCCCCATAGACTCACACACAGCCCCTACACACACACACACACAGCCCCTACAACACACACACACACAGCCCCTACACACACACACAGCCCCTACACACACACAGTCCTACACACAACAGCCCCTACACCCACAGGTACACACACAGCCCCTACACACACAGCACCATAGACTCACACACAGCCCCTACACACACCACACACAGCCCCTACACACACACAGGTACACACACACAGCCCCTACACACACACAGGTACACACACACAGCCCCTACACACACACACACAGCCCCTACACACACACACACAGCCCCATAGACTCACACACCAGCCCCTACCACACACAGGTACACACACACAGCCTCTACACACACACACACCAGCCACACACCACACACCCCTACACCCACACACACACCGCCC